CTTACGTGGTTTTCAGCCATGTTCCAGGCAGAAGCTCTAAGCCACAACCACCCTGGACGCAGCTGCTCTGAAGTGGCCCAGACCGCAACCACAAGCTTATGCCCGCCTCTATAAGCGATGATGAAACTCCTCCTTTGAATATTCATTCCCTATCCCAAATAAGACACCCACCCTTCCATGTTTGGGGGGCCATAGCTTTGTGAAATTATTCCCTATGTTCTCCATTTTTCTTTGCTGCATGCCGCAAATAAAAATTCTGCTTTGTGAGACAACTACTTCTGGTGCAGTTTGATTTAACTCCCAAGAAGGGACCCCCATTTGGTCTGGTAACAACAGTGGTATTTACAAGAAAGGTTTACTGTGAAAATTAAATGAGTTCATACTCTCTAATGCTTAGAAGAATGCCTCGTACAGAAAAAGCCCTCAATACATTGAAGATGTTATTATTATCAGTTCTATTATTTCTGCTCCTTATCATAGATTTAAGGCAATGATTGATAGCAATAATCTGATTTCACTAGAAAATGTCACAAAATATAAAGCTGATGAAATAGGTTGAATTTGATACTTGAGAAACATATTATAATTCTTCATGTAATTGTTAGCTTCATGCACAACTTTACTCAAATTGAAATCTGTTCTAATGCATGGGTCCCGCTGTGCCATGTTTTATGTCACACTAAGGTAGACCAAGAAAAATCCCACATAGTCAAACACGGTGAAAGGAAAACTAATTTAAGACAAAAAGTTAGTGTAATAACTTGATCCCCAATCCCGAGAGCTATGGGGGAACGGTGCACAAGGCAGGGGGGTGGGTATGGATGAAAGAGAAGTCTGGGCAGGTTAGCAGTTGACAAACAGTTGCAGGGGAGCAAATGGGATGTTAACTGCTCCTGTAGAAGAGCTTGAAACGCTGCTCCCTCCCCAGCCAGGTCTCCTCTCCACCCCAGCAAAGAATATAGTCTCTTCCAGGAGGAAAATAGGGAAGATTACTAAGAAAATAGAAATGAGATATAGTTTTGTTTTTGAGAGTTTAGCTTGGCAGCAGAAAGATGAGAACTTAGGGTTGATTCATACCTGAGTCCCAAATCGTCAGGAATGAAATGAAAGGTGCAGACTCTGCCAACTGAACTGTCAATCTAAAGCGTATGAGCATCATCTCCAAAGGCTTACCGCCTACACAGGGCAGGCAGTGTTTTACTATTTCACAGGGGAGAAGAGCAGCAATAGCATCTGTTCTGTTTTTATTTTTCCAGTATTATCTTCATTTGGAAGGTGGGAATAATACCCACCCTTAGGTTGCTATGACAAATGAAGAAGTATGTCTAAAACGATAGCACAGTGCCTGGCACATAAATAGTAGCCTTTCGGAAAAAAATGACGCAAAGATTTTTTCCACTCACCTCCTCCCAAATCCCTGATGCCAATGGAGTCTAACCTGCTATTAACTTACAACCAAGAGAAGAATGCAGATTCCCACAAAAGCAGCCCATTGGGAAGTGTCTGACCACATAAGCCTTTTATTCAAACCTGAAGCATTTTCCCCAATCCCCCCCAGGTACCCTCCTGCAAGGACCGTTTCCACACACGGCTGGTGAGTGTGACCCGTGACCTGCCCTCTCTTCATGGGGACTTTGGAGCGCTCAGCACTTTCTCATGGCTTTCCTCCCTGTGAATTTATGGTGGATTATAAAATAAGTTCATTTTTTAAACCTTGTGCTACACTTGCTCCATACTTAAGAAATATCACGTTAATCCATTTGAGTTTTTAAAAGTCTAACTTTGTTGGTATATTCGAGCTGAAGGAGGGAACCCTAAAAAGTCCACTCAGTTTATGCTCTCTCCTTATATGTCTTAGGAGCTGCGAACAAACCAGCCACAGGATGAGGTCAGAGGGATGTCTCTTCCAGACAGGTCTGAAGGGCCCAGGTCCATGCAAGGGCAGAAGTGAGACGCTGCAATTCTCCAGTTGCTACTGAGAGTGGCATTAAATGAATCACAAGGAGTCGATTGGTCCTTAGGAAACGAGCTTGACTAGCTGTGAAACAGAGGACTGGGTCCTGGGGCTTTCCCATTAGGCCTCAGACTCGTACTCTTCTCTGTAATATGAAGGGAAATTGGCTACCCCTTAGGAACGTGTGAGCAAGGAGAGATCATAAGATGGCTTGGATTCTTTATCTGCATAATAGGAAATAACTTACAGCTTGCCCTTACTCTGCATTTACCACGGTTAAAAGGCATGTTTCACAGTGATGATCCATTTCAACAGGAAATAATATCCAAATGACTACACAGATTAAGAATGACCACTTAAAAGTCAACCCACTTTCCTACAAAACAAACAACAAAAAACAAAGAGAAACGAATGGTCCTCAGGCAGAGAAACCCACACTGAATACTTGAAAGTCTGTCCATCCAAGGAAAAGAGAAGATGGCAATAGAGGTAACTCGCTCAAAACTTTAGAAATGTCATTAAACCTCAGTAATTCAAACCTCATTCAAATAGAATTCACAGACCTTCAGACCCTGTCACTTAACATGAATTCATAACAAAGGAAATAAAATTTGGTGATGGGGAAGTGCATTTTCTAAAAACAAGTAAACAATGCTCGTTAAAAACCACTCAGCAGCTGGATTTACATGTAATCAGCACCACTACAGAACCAGTCTTATCTGTTCCTTATAGGAGACTCAGCTGAAAATTTCTGTGCGAAAGATGCTTCTTGATTAGGTAAGTACAAACAAAGCAAAAGATGAACTCAGATATTTTCATAAATTAGACTGTTTTCCTCTAAATACTCTAAATTAATGAGGCTTTATACTTACTTCCCTTTTCTTACTCCCCATTTCTGAGGTGAGCCAAAGTTGCTTAATCAATATTTTTCATGTGTGTGTTTGAAGGGCCATCAGATAGGAGATACACAAAATCAAAATTTTTATTTTTCATATCAGAATTAATACTGGAAGGAGTTGCCTTAAAAGAGTCATTATTGAAACTGAATTCTGGGCTCAAGTCTACTTACCTTTAGAATGGAGACAAAAATAGCATTTACCTCATAGGATCGCTGTGAAACTTAAACTAAACAATCCAGTTAAATGGCTTACAACAGCACCTGGCCTTCACCATATGCTAGTTATTGTTGCCATTACTATTATTGATGCTATTATTTTGTTCACAATCATTTTTATATCAGGAGATAGCTCCTTCTCTATTTCCTGAGCAAACACAACATAAACAAGGTTCTGTCAATCTTTGATGGTGTCTTCATCCCAAAATGAGTCATGGAATTTTCCCTCAGTGTTCCCCTTTGCTGGGACGGGAGATTCTCTTATTAGAAAGAACAAATGTTTGACCCTTGAGGCTGGATTCCTTGGACTATTCTTTAAATATGAAAGTAGAAAAACCACCTTAGATAGTTGTACTTTGGCTCTGCACTGTCTATTCTGTGGAGAGGGAAATAACTGGATTTTTAGCATTTAGTTTTGATAAATAAACGAAAAGCAATAGAATATATTGGAGTATATGAGGAAGTCATCTGGTTTAAAACTAATTTGGCCTGAACTTGTTTCTCCCAAAAGACCTGATGTGGCCTGCTGAGCATGCACTGTACATCTGCTTTAAACATTTACAGTGTCCTAAAGACAGAAGGATGCCCTTCAAGATAGGGACGCAGCTTCCCCCCACATCATCATTTCCTTAAGGATAAGCACCTCTTCCTGGACTCTAAGGATTGATTACCGACCTGCTGTGCTCACCTTGTGACCACTGACCTGCCGTGCCAGCTAAGCATCTCGTGACAATTATAAAAGGGACATTCCTGTCATACGTGATGTGTGCTCTTTGTTCCAAGACAGTATACAACCCCTCTGTACACCCCACTTCTTGGGGGTGCCTCCTTCCTTGAGGAAGGAAGCCCCTCAGGCTAGTCCTCAGACTTGACTCAATAAACTCACCCTAAAATTTAATTTATAGATTGATTATGGATTATTTGCAGACAGTTTGCCCATTGTATATTTCTTTTACAACTGAGCACTTTTACCTGCCTCAACCATAAATGAGGAAAAATAGATGGAGTGTGTGCACGGAAGGTGGCAGTTTAAGAAGGAAAAAGGGGATGAGTGGAAATGGGGAGGCCAACGGTTAAACGCCTGAAGCTAACAGTACAAATATAACATGACCCTCTCTCAGATTTATCCAGTGTGGGGGTGTCTTTACAAGTTAAGGCCCTGTGTCTCTGCACATCAATGCTTTCTTTCCCATGGGGACACACGGAAGTGCAGTATACCTCACTTGGTAATTTCAGAGATCTTAATAGTAAATAAAGAGCTCAGCTAAAATGCAGCGTGTGTGTGCCCTGCGCATGCACAGCGGACTGGCCAGTCTTCCTATGCACCAGTGACTGGGAACTTCCTGCCGCCAGTTGACCAATGGGAAGAAGGCGATTTGTAATCTTCTAGGGATCACCTCTGGCACAAATAAATACGTGAAAATTACAAGACTGGTCAAGTGTATTTTAAAGGTTTTTGAAGTTAGTTATTTGAAAAGGGAAAGATGATAACATCTTCAGCTTAAGATTTATTAAAGGAATAACATAAATGATTACTATTCGGAAACATACTATCCTATACTGAATTTATAAGTGAAAACTATCTCACAGGAGAAGACAGAGGAAACTCTATCTCACAGATTATAAGATCTCGTTCTGAACATCCAGGATTGCGTAAATAAATTACACACCAACCTTCTCTGAAGAATCTGAGAGTAGCATGTGAATTACAAAATGAAGCAATGGCAGTTTTTTTGGCAAGATGATTCTGACAAGGGAAGGTTTATCATTTCACATTAAACAAAGGTGAGCCTATTAAAACTACACAGTTAAAAGTAATAAGTACGGTAGGTTTTATTTCCCTGAACCACAATGGACGTGATTGAGCACTTTATGGAGCTGGTGGTTTTGATGGCGATGGAACTCTGAGTTCACACAATGTGGAAAAATTACCTGTCCCAGGGATTGCCAGTCCAAACCAGCGCTGCCAATGTAAACGTGCTGTTTGTCCACAATCCAGAAGGAGGACTGCAGCCGGCCCTTGTTGTACGCGGTCATGTTCATGTAGGTCACCTCGGCTCCTGGAGGGGGCAAGGAGATCCTGGTCAGCCTCGGCGCAAGGCCCGGAACGCGCAGTCAGGCACCTGCAGCGGCTGCTCAGAGTGCGCACTGACCACAACCGCATTCAGGAAGGCCAAACACGTACATTAGTCTGATACACAGAAGGCCCTCGAGGAGTTATTTTGTTCCCAAAAAAGCATACAAAGGGAAAAAAAGAGTAAGAAGCTTTTTCCTATGTAAATGCAGAGAAGGCTCAGCATAGCGAAAGTGCATGGCTTCTCAACTCAGATCTGACCGAAGCCCAGCTCCATCACTAACATCCAGGTGGTGGGGCAGGTGCGCCATCCTCCTTTTACTTGACTTTTGGAATAATCTTCATATGATTTCGCAATCAATAAAACCATCAGTCCTGTTTAGCATTACGGCTCCCCTCAACAAGAAGCTGGCCCTCTTACACGTTCCGGACATTATTCTCACTCTTTCCCCTTTTCTTCGTCTTATTTCTTCATTTTCCCTCTTCTTTATTTAATTTAGATTTGGTCTCTTCCTTGCCTTTCTTTATCTGATAGTTCTTAATTTAAGCAATGATCATTCAAGCCTTACCGAAATGTAACCTTGAATGGTTAACTAGGTCACTCAGACTATTGTTAAAACCAAAAAAATGCATTTTAACATCTAAATTTAACCAATTGTTCTAAGCATGATGTGTCATAATCAATTGTGAAGCTTATATGTATCGTATGCTCGGGACTATGCACTTACTACTTCTCAGAAGGAGCATAGAATCCACTGAATGCAAAGCTATTTAAGTAAATTTCTGCTAAAGAAATTAATAAAAGAACAGAACTACACGCATATATTTAATAACTAAGCTATCCTGTCTTCAGATATTCAACACTAACGAAGAGGATGTATTCTTGTGGCTCAGTTCATTGTCAGAACCTTCATTACCAGAAGATGTGGTACCGTATACATAAGGTTGTATGCCAGGATATCAGAAGGGAGGAAGAGTGACTTACATTATGAACTGAACTGTAACTCCTGGGAAAATGTAAAGGCTGCCTCTGGGCTCCTGGGGCAGGAGGACGAAGAGGCTATGGGGTTGGGACAGGATCTGAGGGGAAGCAAGAGTCCAGGCAGACTTCTGTGCAGGTGGAGCAAGTTCTTCATCCTAGAAGTGAGGGCACATCTCCCTCAGCCTCCAGGCATCCTGGAATAGCAACATCCAAGGAATGGTTACAGGCCCCAGAGGAGGAACAGTCAGGTACAGCAGAAGCTGAAAGTCCAAAATGGGTAGTTACCATGGCAATTACGCAGGGACCCAAATCTGCATGGAGGGTGTGGTGTCCCCCCAGAGACACGGCTGCCAGGGCTCTTAAGTGGAGGAAGCGCAGCATTTGTCTTGGGGGCTGTTTGAGTTTCCTATGGCCACCATGGTACACTACCACAAACTAAGAGGCTGGGAACAACAGAAACTTCTTCTCTCTCAGTTTGGGGGGTTAGAAGTCCACAGTCAAAGTGTCGGCAGGGCCGCGCTCCCTCTGCAACCTGGAGGGGAGAATCTCTCCTTGCCTCCGTCTGGCTTCTCGTGGGGGCCATCCACCTTTGGCGTTCCTTGGCTTGAAGCTGCGTCACTCCACTCTCCACCTCTGCTGTCACATGGCGTCTTCTCCCCAAGTGTGTCTATTTTCTCCTTTTCTTATAAGGACACTAGTCACATTGGATTAAGGGTTCATCCCACTATGGTATGACCTCATCTTAACTAATTATATCTACAACAACCCTATTTCCAAATAAGGTCACATTCTGAGGTACTGGGCTTTAGGAATTCAACACGTCTTTTTGGGGGACACAGTTCAACTCATAACAGAGATCCAGGCCACTTTAACTGGCTGTGTCCTTCAACAGTACTAGACTGGCCAGCACTGAAGGAAGCATCTTCTCTTGTCTCTGGAAGGAAGAGAGTGAAGGTGACCTTGGTGTTTGCCTCAGTTTCCACCTTCAACACAGGCCTCCGGCCAGGCCTGCACCCACCTTTTTATTCTGCCTAGAAACAATCTTAACCCTCTGTGACATCAGCTGCCCTCACCTCCTGGCCTGGGACGCTGTGCCTGGAATTTGACCCCACCACCAGTTGCTACCTTGCATTGGGTTGTTTATTAGTTCTTAGACTCCCCGTTTGTTCTCGCTCAGGTCCCCGCAGCCCCAGCCCACTGGCCCTCTCAAGGAGACACTGGGCTTATCAGCAGGGCCCACTGAGGACCATCCCTTTTGATCTCTCCATCCCACATGTCACAGCTGTCGCCCTCAAAGTCCTCTATTACTTTACCTGGCAGTTTAGCCTAAAGAGTGTGATTTCAGGAACCATGGGCCTTGTGTAATCCTCCAGCCAGAGCCTTTACAGTTACTTAATGATGCTTAAAATTATTTCATAAAGGAACAGTGGCTTTCCTTCAGCAAATCTTTGAATATCTAATGTACACCAGACCCTGTGCTACGTAAAATTAAGGACAAAGGACCTAAAGTGGCTGATTAAAATTCAGGCATACTAAAGAAATTGTACCACTCAAAATGACCAGGATCTGCTCCATCCCTGCTGTTCTGACAGCAAGGGGCACTGGGTATCTGACAGATCAGAAAGGGGAGTCCCCATAGTTGTATCAGGGAACCCAAGTGAAAGCTGAGAGCACAAAGGACTCCACGGCTGTGCCCAGGGCCGGAGCTGCCTGTGCAAAGGCCAGTGGAGCTCCATGTAGAGATTAAGCAATATGTAAAAACAGGAACTGCCATTTACTGAACAGCTGCGTGCCCAGTGCCAACAAAGCTATGTTACAACAATCCCACACGGTATGTTGTATTTTCCTATTTTAGAATACAACAAACTGTTGGATGTAAGAGAATCAACTATGGGGTTTCAGAATTTGCCACTCCAAAGTGTGTCTCCAAGCCTTGATTATTTTTAAGAACAAGACTCAGAAAGAAACTTTGACCTTCCCCCAACTGCATAAAAGAATTTAAGATAGAAGGCCTGTCCCAGAAAGGAGTGATGACCATAGATAACTCCAGGTGCGGCAGACAGGAAGGCACCTAGCAAGGCCCATTTTTTATTAATGTTCCCTCTCATTGTCTACAGATGGCCCAGCAAACATTCGTTTACCAAACATTGGCTTTTTTGTCTGCATATGAATTGCCTTCCTCCCCTCTGAAGTCCCAAACCACCACCCTCAAGATCCTCCTTTGTATTTAGCTGAAGATGGTATTTAAAGTGGTGGCTTCAGCCATTTTGGCCAGTTACTCAGTTTTCCTGGGATTCTCCCATGTTTATAGGTTACTGAATTTGTTTGATTTTCTCCTGTTATTCTGTCTCATGTCAATTTAATTCCTAGACCAGCCAGAAGGACCTAAAGGGTAGAGGCATACTTCTTCCTCCCCTACAAACCAAAAATATGAGATGACACAGCTGGGAAAATATTTCTCTGCATATGGTTTGTGGAATATCACTTTCCCATTAAAAATGATCTATTTGTCTGTTTTTCTATCTATCTCTCCTCCTCCTCTCTCTGAAGACATAGGCTTTTATCTTAATTTATACCTGGATAGATATATACTTAGTCATATCCTACATGCCCCTCCATTTATTACAAGCATATTATTCAATATTTTACTTAAAAGAACTTATTTTACCTGCACTTTCAAAATATCTTTGTTGATTGGTTATAGAAATTATTCTCATCCTACTGTTTTTCTATGTGTATTAGAAAGAGATGGTTAAAATCCAAGGTTTTCTGACTATAAAATATATTTAATTACAAAAGCTCTTTAAAGTACCACTTATTTCAGTAGTAGTATTATGTGGACAAACTAAATTCGAGTTTATTTCATAGTATTATGCTAGATTTTTAATTGGTAAAGATGGCTACACACATTTTTATGAAGCTGTCTTTTAATTACTATAGACTTATAAGATTATAAAATATCTTTAAAAGCTGGATTGATTCAAATAAGTACATTTTTTCCAACAGCTTTGAAGATTATTTAGTTGTTTGCTTAACCAATGTTGATTTTCCCAGATTTCATTTTTAACAGAGAAAAATATTGTGTCATGCTTTCTGTTTGCAGCCATGACCCATCGTGGAGAGGCCCCAGAAGCCAACTGAGAGATGCACATCTCAGCGGCAGTGACGCACCAGGCCCACCGGCTGGAGGCTGGGCAAGCTCGGTGGTACTGGGTCTGGATGTCTGCATATCCTCCTGCTTTCAACCTGGTCATCAATTGATGGTTAATAGGAGTTATTAGCAATTCAAAACAATGTTTTTAGATGTCAAACTGATAAACCAAGAGTACGTACTTGTTTCCATAACTGCTTTATAAAATACTTTCATTTTATCTAGGAAGTCCTAATTAAATCTTTAAAAAGCTATAAACGTGCTGATGTGGTGGTGTGGAGTCAGGTCTTAATAGGTCACACTAATCAATATAAAGTGGTATGGCTAATCCCCATGTTTTACACCACTCTGGGAAAGTAAAACATTAAAAATCAGGAGATCTCAAACTACTTCTTACAACTCTTTTGAGCTGTAATAGATATGGTCCACTAAAATTTAATAGAGAATGCTCCTGGTTTCAAAGGGGTTCTGTTTCTTTACTAAATTATTCTTAGGGTATTAACCAGATAATATTGTACTTTATTTTGTTCATATATAATTTCAATGGAGAAAATACTCTTGAAATTTAATAGAGAAAATGAAAATACTAACTAAAAAGCTATTTACTGGGGCCTGCCTGGTGATGTAGTGGTTAGGTTTCAGTGGCCTGGGGTTCATGGGTTTGGATCCCAGGCACAGACCTACACACTGCTTATCAAGCCATGCTGTGGAGGCATCCCGCAAACAAAATAGAGGAAGACTGGCACAGACGTTAGCTCAGGGCCGATCTTCCTCACACACACACACACACACACACAAAATCCCTATACTCATATTTTAATCAGAAATAGATTTGAAATCAGCTCAACATAAG